CGGCCATGCTGATGAAAGAGTGTCAAATCCAGAGATCTTGTGAAGCCACAACCTTGAGTATGATGGTGCAAGCTTTGACATGGCCCATATACTGTCCCTGCCAAGCAGAAGGGCAGTTCTTCTACTCCTAGTGCATGCAGTCTATGCTACCAAGCATCCCTGGGAAGCCCCTGCTAGCATTCTCGCCAACAAGAGGGATGTATCTTCAGCATTTGGCTCTCTCAAGTACTCATGCCAAACATTGCAACCACAACCTTGCATAACTTGCACATGGAGTCTAGGCACATAGACTTGCTCATATGGGCGTACTCATCAATGAGATCACCGGGAACTCCGTATGCAAGCATCTAGATAGCTGCAGTGCATTTCTGATAAGAGGAGAAGCCAATCTATCCAAGGGCATCCTCCTTGCACTCGAAATACTTATCGTATCCGACCACCCCCTCCCGAATACGGTTGAAAACATGCCTGGCCATACGAAAACGGCACCGGAATTGGTGATGTTTGAAGTGCGGGTTGGGTGCCTCGAAGTAGTCCTTTCAAAGAAGAAAATAGCCGCTCCCTCGGTTGCGATTCAACGCCGGAGTGTGCCCCGGTATCGAGCCCCGGAACAATGGTCGCTGCCTACTAAGGTGGTCATGGACGACCAACACAGCAGCCACCATCTCCTCATCGCCGGATGAAGAATCATCCGACTTGCAAAGAAAATTGTGGAAAAAGAACTCGTCGGCGGAGTCCATTTGTACCTTGTGGGCAACCGTCGAACAACTTGCGGGCGTCATCGAAGAAGCACGCCGCGAAGAGACGCGCGCCTCCCCTGGACCAGGTAGCTGGCCTGGCGGCGTCCGACGAGCGTGGTGGTGCCAGATGAGCGTGCTGGCGTTGTCGAAGGAGCTGGTTGGGTGCGCGGGGCAGAGGTGGTGCTCGCGGCGACGTCGGGGAAGAAGCTGTGGTGGCCCGGCGGCGACGACGTGGGAAGGTGACGTGCTGCGGGGAAGGTATGTGGGTGCAGACTGCTGGCAAGGGCACCGGAACTGGGCAGCGGCGGCGACGGCGTGGGGCTTGCTGTCGATGGGAGGAAGAAAATGGCCGATGTGTCACCGACTAGCGAGGCAGAGGGAGGAGTAGGTGGGTGTCGCCCGCGTCCACGCCGACGCAAATGAGGCTTGAATTTAGGCCAGGAATGAATCGCTCGGCGAACGAAAAGCGAACGCTCGTCCGTTTAGGTCAGTGTATTGCATCGACTTTTATGTATGTTTTGACGCAGACAGATACGCGCTGCGGACGAAATAGATCGGCGAGTTGGATTTTCTCTTAACACTCTTTGGGATTGCCATTGGATGAACTCAGGCAAAGAAAAGGACTGGGCTCCGGAAGTCGTGGTCTCTCTCGTGCTCCACTTTCCTCCCATCCCAATCTCAAATCACTCATCGCAAAAGTGGAATCTAAGATTACCGGAGCGCCTGCTCGTCCTCCAGTCCGCCCATTCCGGCGCCAGTCGCCACCTTAGCCGAATCCCCATTCTCCCATTTTCCCCGAGGCTAGATTCTGTTCCAGCGCATTAGGTGCCCGCTCTGTTTTTTTTCCTAATGGGAAGCAGTAATCAAGAACCGGGGGTGAGCCTCCGGACGGATGGCTGGCTACAGAAGCCTATGGATAGCCTCATGCAGATCCCGGATAAGATCCAAAACTCTCTCAAGGTAGGTTGCTTCTTGATCAGGTGAAAAATTCCTTTTATTATCGATCGAGGGGGTCGAAATTGGTTGCGCAGATGTAAACTGACCTGTTTGGAGCTTGTGACAGCTACATTTTGGGCGTTTCTTGAAGATGGATGGTGTTAGCGGTGGCGGTATCAAGGCACAAATGCCATCAGAAAAGGTGAGGGTATCATATACCGCTGCTGCTGCTTCAGAGGATAGCTTGGACCGGCAGCTCCAGGCTTGGAGGGACAATCCTAGTTGGACTGATCAGCCTCCAGAAATCAAGGTACTACTCCCTCCGTCCGGAATTAGTTTAACGCTCAAACGGATGTATCTACAAGGTACTACTCCCTCCCTCCGGAATTAGTTGAGTCCGGAATTAGTTGACGCTCAAACGGATGTATTTAAGCTCCGGACGGAGGGAGTATTTGATAACGAGTTGTGATACAAGGATTGCGATTGGGGATGCTTGTATTGTAGGTTAGAAGATGGCCTAATATTTTGGAAAATTAAACTGGACACAAGATTGAAATATTTCTTCTTGCTGGGACATCTCTGAGTTCCGTGTTCCAATAGGTCATTATCATTTCTAGATTGTTAAATTATTTTGATATCCTTCTTTTTAGGAATTACTTTGATATCCTAACCTTTTACAATATTAAATAATTACTTACAGGTGACTGTGCCACAAGGCTCTCTTTGCAATCTTAATCTAAAATTTAAGGCAGGATTGCCACCGGATGCAGTTTACAACATTATAATTGACCCGGAGAACAAAAGAGTGTTCAAAAATATCAAGGTGCGCACAGATATACTCTTACTTATTCAGAATGTCCAAGGTGGAACGGCCTTGTGATTGTCCAGGGAACTGTTCGATGCTTCATCCCTGTTCTTAATTTCTCAGTCGTTGCTGTTTGTATGTCATTGTGCATATCAAGATAGTTCTGTGATGCAATCCCCTGAAAATTGAACATGTTCATTCATCATACATTTCTTAGGTGTCCATTAACTAACTTAAGACATGGTTAAGTGGTTGGCCCAGAACCTGTAATTGTACCACCCAAGTTGTTGAATGACAGAAACTGATATGTGATGTTTTTTATGAAGTTGTATGTCCTTTACAGTGTGTTCGGAGTACTTATATTGCGATCCTTGAAACTATGAAAGAAATATGAGAGGCCATGCAAGCATATATGTTGTTGATTCTTCATGATTTCCCAAATTTGGCTACTGCTGCCAGCTAAACGACCCAAAGAACTTCTAAAGAAGTAATTGTGTTATCTTAACCATGCACGACATATTGCTCTAATTTTCAGGAAGTGGTGTCAAGGAACGTGTTGCTTGATGAAGGATCAAGGCAGATAGTTGAAGTGGAACAGGCAGCGATATGGAAATTCCTTTGGTGGTCCGGCATCTTATCAGTCCATGTTTTTGTTGACCAGGACAGAAGAAATCACACTGTAATAACTTGAAACTTTTCCATAAACCTTTTAGCAACATGTGCAATCTGTTTTCTGATACCATGATACATGGTTTCGGGCTATAAACATTTTGCAGGTGAAGTTCAAACAAGGGCGAAGTGGTTTTATGAAGAAGTTTGAGGGTTGCTGGAAAATAGAGCCCCTGTTTGTTGACAAGGAAGCATGCCTTCCTCTTGATCCACATACGCTGGAAGAATATGATTCTTGTTCTGCTGGCAGAGGAAGAGTTGGATCTGCCATTACCTTGGATCAGCTTATTGAGCCTGCTCTGTTGCCCCCACAGCCCATCGCATGGTATGTGAGAGGGATTACCACAAGGACGACCGAGATGCTGGTGAATGACCTAATAGCGGAAACTGCTCGGCTGCGAGGCCTGGCAAGCAATGGGGATGCCAACCAGCATACTGAAGAAAATCATGATGTTAATGGAGACGTTCTAACAGAAGATTGTAATGATGTTAAGGAAAGGTGGCGACAGAGAAGAAAAGCTGGACGACAGGGAAGTTCCCTTAGATTGACAAGACAACAGGGGCAGGATAAACTATCAAGCCTGATCAATGTATAACTAAGTTAGTGTATATGTTTGCAGTTTTGTGTTGATGGTGTAGCATTCCTCGAATTTTGGATTACTGGTCATGATTATGGATGAGCATGTCTGAGATAGAGATGTTGAATGGTGTATAATTGTTTTGATGATGTTACAAATGAAATTCTACTTCGACCAGAAGCTATCATTACTTTGGTTCAGTTTGATATGCAGTTCTGAACTTTCTGGGCAGCTGAAGTTGCTTGATCTTCATGCCTGGTGTGCTTGGCATACCTACTACATTCCTTTAAAATATTTTAACAAATTTACAGTGTTGCTGCGTGATGATGTGAGCTCATGTGAATCGAAGTTTCATGAAAACTGAAGCTAACCAGATGAACCAGATGCCAATCTCTGAACCTGGCCAAAACTTGTGGGTGAGTTCATCCATCTTTTCTCCAAATCTGCAAGGCAAGGAAGCCTCCAATTCCTTTCTTTCGTACACATGCTCAAGGCAACGTCGCCCTATGAAACTACCACCCTACCACAGCTTTTGCATTCTATAGCCCACTGATCGATCGCGCGGCAGCCATGTCCGACCAACCACGGCCGCCGTCGATGCCACCACCCCAGCCGCAGCCGTTCCGGTTCTGGCTTCCTTACAGAAGCAATGTGGGGTCGTGGCGCCATCAACCGCCGCCCCCATTGCCACCGCTGCCTCGACCTCAGGCACCCGGTTCACCCACACCAACTCCGGCGGAGCCCGCGCCGGCACGCGCCGTGGAGGAAGATACCCCCCTCCAGGCTGACTCGTCCGACGAGTCGGACACGATTGCTGTTGAAGCTTTAGACTCGCTGCGGCTACGAGGAGCCAGGCCGGCCATGGCTGACCTGGAGCTGACGCTCTCGAGGTCGCCGCCGCCGCCCACGGGCCCAGAGCAGGGCACGAGCGGGGGTGGCGACCGTGGGAACGACGGCGCCAAGATATCCATCTCCGGCTTCCCGAGGGCCCGCCTCTTCGACGGCGCCCGCGCGCCGTACCGGCGGGAGATCGAGGACGGGCTCAAGAGCCTGGCCGGCCGCGAGACGCCGGCGCCGAGCCCGCCGGACGTCGGCAACCAGGGGTACCGCGTCTTCACGCTGGCCGGTCACAACGTCGGCGCGAGCATGGTCCTCGGCAACGGCTCCAGCGGCGCGCCACTGCCAAGAAGCAATGAGCCGGAGGGGTCGGCGAGGCCGCCGTCGGTGGCCGCGAACGTGAACAGCAACGTGCAGGGTGTGAACAACTCGGCGATGGAGGAGAGCACGTGCAACTCCGGTGACCCCGGGGTGCGCGTGGACATCAAGAACGCCCACGAGGATCGTGTTGCGCTGGGGCAGGGCAAGGAGGGGGAGAAGAAGCCAGAGGAACCGGCAAGAACACCGCCACCGCAAGCAGAAAGCAGCGGCGAGGCGGCCCGGGCGCCGCCGAAGACGAGGCGGTGCCTTCGCGCGCTGATGATCGAGGAGCGAAAGCCGAAGCCGATATCCTGCCGGTTCCAGTGCGTGGCGGACCACGCGCCGCCGCCGGCGACCGCGAGCAACTCCGGCGGTAATAAGAGTGCGGAGGAAGGCGCGGAAGAGGGCACAAGGTGATCTCGAACTCGAAGCGTGCGCGGGAATCGGAAGCACACTGGTTTGTAATTGTTTTTGCGCATAAAAATACGAAATCCAAACGACACATGAGACTCTGAAATTACAGTTATCTTCTCGCAAAAAGAATATTTGCCGTAATTTGTTTCAGTTTTGCTATTCGTCGGAGTTCCTGAAATTGTAATTTGGGTTAGTCGATTTTGCACGTAGCTCCGAGTCCGAAGACAGGGGGCGCCGCGGCGAGCGGTGGCAAGGCCAAGTCAGGACGGAGCGACCCGAAGTCAGGGACGACGCGGCAACGACGTCGCCCATGGAAGGGAGTCTGAGGTTAATGGGTTTGGATACGGGGATGTCGTCGGCAATTAGACCGTATCGGGGCTACGAGCAATACACTAGCAAGAATGATAGAACTATACCACTATATGTTACAAAAAGATTCAAAAGAAAATGCACAACGGAGTGAGTATTGGAGATATCTCAATCCTCCTGCTGAGGCCAGAAATGTCCCTTCTCCGCCTTTCAGTCGCTCAAAAGGCATATCCCGGAATAAAATTGTTGGCAAGGGACATTTTGCACTCTTTTGCCGCCCTGAAGGCCACAGAGCACCTTAGCCTAGCGGCAAGGATCCTTTGTGGCGTGGCTTTGTGTTCCCTATTTCACACAAACTATCTGTGGGGAAATATAAGTAAGTAAATTTCACAAGATTACATTAATACAATTTTATTTCAAACATTTTGGCTGACCGTAATTTTAGTCCTCGCAAATGGCTCTACATACACCGCCGACTCATAGAAGTCGTGATTCGAACAGGACGACTGTCCTGGAATCTAACATTGTTAGTCGATTATCCATCATTGTTTTCTTGACGAGGGGATTATTCATCATTACGTTATGTGGACTTTTTTCTACAAGCCCCCAAGTGTGGTAATCCTATGAATCAGGATCATAATGCGAAGTGAGATTACTTGTGGCTTCTGTTGGTTAGAGTTGGCGCGAGGTTTGAATGGTGATCCGTCATGAGAGTGTAGTGTTGATCTGCAACCAATAGTATTGTTTTTTTCTTTGATCTTTGGATCCACTACATGTAATTTTTCTGTTGCATTGTGCTAAATCTGAATTATGCCAGCAATTTGTTGAATATATATAAAAAACATAGTTCCGTGAAATGTTGTATGGGACGAAACATGGTTTTTCTAATCAGTTTGTTTTAATGTAGTAGATAGTTATACTTTTCAGGAGAAAATAGGTTTATCAAACCATATCAATGGATCCGAACATGAGTAGAAGCGCAAAGGTTAGAGAATTGAAGCGACGTGCTGGAACCCGAGATGTTTTTCAAAAGCACCCCGTTCGAACAAATTAAAACAAAAACAGTGCATCCTGGCTACAAAATTCGACACCCGTATTTTGAATGAGCCTATCTTGTGCGGTAAAACATCAAGCGTCAACTAAAAGAGAAAGAAAGAACATCAACCGTAAAAAAGGCTTCATAGTCCATTTCGAACACAGATCGGCACACAGCGTTTCACTGAACAGAGGATCCAAGGCACCGGCCACTCTAAAACCAGACAGAGCACCACCGAAGTCTCAGCCTCTCCGAGAGGCCAAGCAGAAATGGCGGCTTCCTGCACGCTCACCGTCCCTGCCCTCTTCGCCGCCTCCTCCTCCTCCTCCTCCACTTCAGCCCGTCGCTACAGGTACCAGCACCGCACGCAATCCCTTCCCCTTACTTGTCTGCATTCGATTCATGCGTTCTCGCAAGGACTGACCCCCGTGGTGGTTCTCGTGGTTTTGCCGGGTGCGCGCAGGCGATTCGGGGTGGTTGCCATGGCCAGCGCGGGGCAGAAGGTGTACGCGCCCGGCGTGGCCGTCTCCGAGGGCAACGGCGGCCTGCCGAAGATCAGCCTCAAATCCCCGCACGGGAGGTAATTCCGAGTTTGGTTGACTTGGTGGGGGATTTTCCAGGTGTATTATGACTTGTGTTGTTCTGTAGTTTAGTTAATGCAGCATGAGTAACATAATACTCGTTCAGACATAAATAATTTGATAGCCACGGTGAAGATTAAAATCAAGAGTTGGAAAACAAACTGTTTGATATTGAAGTGGGTGTTATGGCAGCAGTGCCACAAGGGTTGATGGCTCATTATTTAGAGTAAGGCAATGCGGCACTATTATTTTGTTATGGTGCCAGCATGATACTGAAAGTTCTGAATTATAGTTCAATGGATCTCTGCAGTGCTTGCCTTTTTCAGTACATTTTTGTAGTGCTTGCTGAATAGTAGCTAGCACATAATGTTTATATGGACCATGGGTAAGCCTATCACTTCTGTTAGTTCCAACTCAGTTCATCACTAGAGTTTCTCTACTACCACAACAGAAATACAGTAGATGGGCTTCCTTTTTACCTTTTGCAACAGCTAATTGTGTACTCATTTTATGCATGAAGTGAGGCTGAGATTTATCTATTTGGAGCATGCGTCACATCTTGGAAGGTTCCCAGTGGAAAGGACCTGCTCTTTGTCAGACCAGATGCTGTGTTCAACGGCCAGAAACCCATCAGGTCGGCCTTGAGACCGATTGAATAAATAACAAGGGTTTAACTCACAGCTAACATTTTCCTTTTCTGAAACTAGCGGTGGAATTCCACATTGTTTTCCCCAGTTTGGCCCCGGCCCCATGCAGCAGGTTTGTGAAACTTGTATATAAAGAATGAGACATCACTAGCCATTGTTACATAGCTGTGGTGTGGGCAATCATTTACATAATGTTCACGCACATCTGTCCATCAATGAACTGCGGAAGAATTGAACATTTTTATGCAGCCTATTCTTTTGTTGTAATCAGGGCAAATTTCACTTTCTTGCAGCATGGATTCGCAAGGAATGTGAATTGGTCTATTACTGATTCAGAAGTCACAGAAGGAGATCCAACTGTAACTTTGGAACTAAAAGACGACTCGTACAGCCGTTCAATGTGGGATTTTAGTTTCCAAGCTTTATACAAGGTTAAGCCCTGTTGTAGTAGCATGTGTCTCCATGCACTCTATCTGTGAAATCATAAGCCTATTAATGCTATTCAGAAATTGGAACTGGAACTCCAATCTTGCCCTTCTGCAGCATATGAAATTGTGCTTGTTTAATGTTCTGTAGGTTGTGCTGCACTCTACAAGCCTGTCAACTACCCTGAAAATAATAAATACAGACGATAAACCTTTCTCATTCAACTCAGCCCTCCACACTTATTTCAGTGTAAGTTACAGCTTTCTGAACGGAGCCAAACTAACATTTGCTTGCTAAACTCTATAGAATTTTGCTTTCACATTAAACACATGAATGCTTTTTGTACAGGCTTCAATTGCTGGTGTTTCAGTGAAAGGTCTCGAAGGTAGCAAGACCCTCAATAAGGAT